CAGTTTTCTCTCCCCAGCTAATACTTATTCCATGTTCAGAGATAATACGTTTAATAACAGCTCCTTTTCCACCCACTTTTCATTTGTCATGTCATAGGGAATACATTGCTGTTTTTAGCAACCTTAAGTAGTGGGCAGCATAATAACTGCTACAATTAATGTTTCTCTAATTATCCCAATTCTCGGTTGTTTATAACTTTCCCAAATTTTAACCTTTCAGGCTGAATTAGACTCAGTTTGAAGGTGATTTTCCATATTACCCTCTAAAATATGAGCTAAGCACACCAAGGGTGTGTCTAAACTACATGGTTCCATCGATGGAGCCATGTAGGTTAGGCTGATCGGCAAAGGGAAATGAAGCCGTGATTTAAATAATCACGGCTTAATTTAAATTGCTGCCACGCTGAGCCGACAAACAGCTGATCATCTGTTTGTCGGCGCAGCGCGCTAGTCTGGACGCTCCCGCACCGACCTGAAAGCCCTTTATCGACCTCCTCCCCGTTATGCCTTGTAGGATGAGGTTTACCGGGGAGGTCGATAAAGGGCTTTCAGGTCGGTGCGGGAGCGTCCAGACTAGCGCGCTGCGCCGACAAACAGATGATCAGCTGTTTGTCGGCTCAGCGTGGCAGCCATTTAAATTAAGCTGTGATTATTTAAATCACGGCTTCATTTCCCTTTGCCAAACAAACAAATCTACATGGCTCCGTCGACGGAGCCATGTAGTTTAGATATACCCTAGCTGTTGAATAAGAGAAGAAATAATTCCCCCATATAATGTTTTATAGAAGTTAAATATGTAAATGTATGTTATGACAATGAAAACAGTATAAATACACATTTTTTAAAAATGCAAGATGCTAAATGTGTTTTTAAGACTGTAAATGTATTGTATTTGAAAAATAATGTGTTGTCAGGTTAAAATTAGACACTTTAGCATGTGCACAGTGGACAGAGATGAGGTCACATTTGCAGCCTTAACACAAGCATTTTCTAACTTGAATACACCATGCAACCTTAAGTTTCTTAACATACTCTCTTTGATGGAATACTTTGTACAGGTAATATTGTTGGTGAAGTGCTTTAAATCCTACTGGGTGAAGTACACTGCTAAATGCAAGACAATTTTTCATTGCACTATAGTTTTAATTTAATTACACTATAGACCATGATGAGTAAGCCAGTGTTAATGTTACATAGTACCATATAAGCAACAGCAAAGTAATTATGAACTTAGTCTCTCTCCATGGATTGTCAAAGGGGTGGGAGCCTCATTAAAGCCCTGCTCTCATCTTTCAAATGAAGAGTCACCTGTTTCTAGGGTTTCCAGATGGTTTCAACAAAAATACCGGACACACTTGACATTACATTACAATCTACATTACATCTTACTTAGAAAATACCAAACATTTATATTTTCTCATTTATATTTTCTCAATTTGTTTCCTGAATAGAAAGCTCAAATACTAGACTATCTGATTCAAAATCAGACACCTGGCAACCCTACCTGCTTCTTAGTTTGTTGAATGAAATAGTTGTTTGGAAAGTGTTAGGCAGGAGGAATCTTGTCTAAATCATCCATCATCCTGTATAAAGATGCAACAGAATTCCCAGTTGAACCTTGCCAGCCATATTCTGATGACTGGGGTCCTGATCATTGAGGCTCACTTCTATGAGGTGTTGTGCATCTTCATGTCCCATTGTGCTGTGGTGGGATGGAACTGATTCTAGATGTGCACAGATTCAAGGTATAGGGTTACTTGTTGGAAGGATCGGACTTGCTGCAGCTTCAGCTTAGTGACACTGAAGCACCTTAACAGGGAAAAAAATTGTAGGGAAGAAAAATTAGTTGCACTGTGAAAATCTGTTTATGGTCAAAAACAAGGTAAAACCAAACCTGAGATCCCTTTTAAGGGTTTCAAGCTTGTGTTAATTTATTCTGTTATGAGGCCCTTACATAGGATATTTTCCTCTGACAATCTTAGCTCTCTTTTGTTATCCCTTTGTTAAACTATTTCCTTTGAAAGCTATTTTTCCTTATTGTTGGTTAAGGCAATACGGTATTTTTCTTTGTTCAAACTGGTTAATGTTCTATCACCATGGAACATGATTTAATATCAAGATAGATTTCAAAGTCAAATATTCCTAATTTTGCTTTGCATTTCTTATTTGTAGAATAGTATGCCATTCTTTTCAGAAGAAGGCGCTTCTTTATGTTAGCAAAAAACATTCTCACAAAGACAAGCCACAAAATCTATGTGCTTTTAAAAAATAATTGTTTTCTCACTGATGCCTTTTTCCTGCTCCTCTTCTGTGATGATTACATTTTTAAATAGGAGTCAGAAAGGGACTTTGGTTGCTAACCTTTCAAAAGATTTTTCTTTCTTCTTTCCACATACAGGCAGTCCCCGAGTTACGCGGATCCAACTTATGTCGGATCCGCAGTTACGAACAGGGCTTTTCTCGCCCCGGAGGACTGGAGCGGCGGGACACCCAGATGCGCTGCAGTCCCGCCGCCCCCGTCCTCCGGGGCGAGAAAAGCTGCTCCACGTCTCCCTGGTCTGCTGGGGGGGAAG